CAGTAGCATTGTGGTGGCTGGAGTTGGCCTGAAGAGACCAGATGTGTTCTGCGGGGAGTGCACTTGGTTGAGTCTGGCTTTGCTCTCCTTTCCCTGTGAGGCCTGGGGGAAATCCCTGTATGTCTCTGGGATCCTCAGCTCCCTCACTTATAGAATGGTGAGAGAGATTAGTGACCTCCTGTCGAGCTCTATTCCTCAAAATCCAGAACATGGCTGAGAAACCATATGGGAGAACAGTCATGCGCTATGTGACCAGAAGCTCTAGTCAGCCTGGAAGGACGCTGGCTGCAGAGGCCAAGTGTACACCTGATCTTTGGGGCAGATTTTTATTTGAGAAATCCACCTACAGAAAATGACATTCTCATTCTCCATTCTGATGGAAAAGGAGATCGGTGTGTGCTCTTCAAGGGAGAGAACGCAGAGCATTCCATTCAGTTCAGTGCCCTCTCAGCACCAGGACCACACAAGCCTCTCCAAGGAGACACGGATGATTCTGCTCTCACTTGAGATGGCTGCTCTCAGATGCTGGCAAAGCCTGTTCCAACTGGAAGCAGCTCAAATATCTTCTGGCTGGGCCAGGAGCTTCCATCCTTTGATGCTCCCTGAGATAGCAAGTCTCCAGGATCTTGGGCATCTCCACTGGAGTGTGGACACCAGCGGGTAGAAATGGGGGCCCTTGGAATATGTCACTGAAACCAGGGACAAAACAAGGAGCCTGCCTGGGAGGCAATGTCAGGAAGAAAGATGATTATATGGCCTCCTAAGTACTATCCCTTCCTGTTCACCAAATGGAAGACTTCCAGTCGGCCAAGAATGTTCCCTTCCAAAGAGGCCAAAATGTATTGTTAGCCAAAGGGAGGCTTTTGTCTCTACTAAAATACAACCATCCCCAGGAGAGGTAACGCACAAAGCCATGCTAGTCATCCATACATCCTGTGGAAGAGCAGCACCGGATCCTGACCCTTTCCTGAGGGAGAGCTGTTTTCTGTTTTTGTTTTATTGCAAAGAGGATGAGGAGAGGGGTTGAAAGAAGAAAGGGGAAACGAAGTCTCAAATTAAACCCGACTGCTTGACTCCTGCTAAGGGCTGGACTGAACTTGGACATAATGCTTTTCTGCTTTGGGAAAACACATTTAACTGTGGAAGAGCAGCACCGGATCCTGACCCTTTCCTGAGGGAGAGCTGTTTTTTGTTTTTGTTTTATTGCAAAGAGGATGAGGAGAGGGGTTGAAAGAAGAAAGGGGAAATGAAGTCTCAAATTAAACCCGACTGCTTGACTCTTGCTAAGGGCTGGACTGAACTTGGACATAATGCTTTTCTGCTTTGGGAAAACACATTTAACTAGCTGCTGAGGCTACCTTTCAGGCCACCTGAGATATGTGGCCATTTGGATGGGTCACAAGGGTCCATGTAGATGAATAATGAACTGCCCCTGGCTGATGCTGACCAGACCATGGCCAGGGACTCCCAGAAGCTCTTGGAGGCAGGTACTGTGCAGACATACTACTACCACCCAGGCCAAGGGCTGAAGAAGCCAGTGGGGTCCAGTCTGCCATAGAGGGTGGAGGCCTGCGTGTGCTGCCAGAGGCATCTTTGATTTTTGGATCAGGCCGGCTGGCCTTAGGTCCTGAATGGCATCCTAGAACACAGGCCAGGCCACATGCCTTGACCTCTAACTGCCCTGGATTTGCACTCCCTAAAGAGAATGGAAGATTTCAGGATGGCCAAGGCAGTTCCCTCTCAACTCCATGGGGAGGGCAATGCTGGAGAATGAGGCCAAGAAATGCATGGAGCATGGGCTCCAGGAAGCCCATGGAGCCTGGTCTGGAATCCTCTGGAAAAGGTGACATTATTTCAATAGTGTAGGGCAGGAGGAGAAAGATATTGACTTGGAATGGGCTCCCCCACACCTTGCCAGTTGCCCTGCCTGAACGTGAATCTGGATGGGCCAAATGGATGAGTTGGAGATTCTGCAGAGCCTTGCTCAATCCCTGAGTCCAGGAGTTCATGACAGCACATGCCGTGTGTGGTCAGATCTGCCCTCAGTCCTGAGCTCCCAGCCTCTGTTCTTTCTTGCAGCCTGCCAACAAGAGTGGCATCTTCCACGGGCCTTGCCCTGAGCTTGGCATCTTTGTGTGCCAAGAAGCAAGAAGTTCAGGCTCACTGGATGCAAGAGAGTGTCCCTGCACACTCTGCAGTTCTGCTGTAATCAGGGGCTAGACTGACCGGAAGGTGGGGGGAAGGGCGGCAGAGATGTCCCAGAGCTGTCCTGAGTATGGCTACTTATCTAAGTAGGAAGGATTTATGGGCGAGCTGCCTGCCTGGTATGACCTGCCATCGTCATGAGAAGGGTAGTGAGGAGCAGGTGATAAAGAGAACAATGAGGGAGACACAGTATGCAAGTCCAGAGTGGTCCAGATGAGACAGGTTGCTTGCAGCCACTGTGTCCTGTGCAGCCCATGCAGATGTAGGAGCATAGACACTGCTGCCAAGTGATTGGTGCCTTCGGAGGCTGACCCTGTCCACTGATGGTGCTTATCCAGCGTCCTGCACACACGCAGGCTGGGGTTGGGGCATCCATCAGGTGTACCAAGGAAGTGACTCAAGTGCCTCATTGTGCCCTCCTCTAAGGAGAGCTGTCCCCTCCTGACCCCAGTGCAGGGAACTTTATTCCCAAGGAAGAACCCATCTTATGCTTTTTAAGAATCATGTTCTGAGTGAATAAAAATCAAGTCCACATTTAAGATGACTAGCTCTTCAATGGGTAACGGGCCAGCTAACACTCTGGTGGCCAGAAGGGCTGGCGAAATTAGAGTCCTGGGAAGATACTTGCAGGATCATGTGACCACTGTCTCAGCCAACCTGCAGATCTGGGCTGTGATCCCCATGAAGCCATTCTCTTTTGTACCAACTCAAGAAGAAGAGTGTTGAGACCAATAATCACTGTCTTACACTTCCCACTTTAGGGTATTACTCAAGTCCCACAGGTCCCACTGCCCACCTCTGGGCCCAATGTCCAGTTCTAGGTGATAAAGGAGAAGAGATTCTGTTTCACCTGGGAGTGTTGGCCCTCAGTCCAGTTCCTCTGCCCATCTGTGGATGCCCAACGGCCAACCCTTTGGTCTCCCTACCCAACCCCAACCTAGTGGTGCCAGCCTCCTGCCCACACCTGCTTAGAGACTTTGAGCCACGTCTTTTTGAGCCGGAAGATGGCGCTCCGGTTCATGGATGAGGTGATCTCCAGCACAGCATTGTAGTTGTGTAAGCAGCGGCATATGTCAGCCACGGCCACCCACTTCTCGATGGCGCTCACCCTTGCATTGATGTCCTCATTGCGAACGATTTCTGAAGCAATCAAGTTACTGATCTTTAAGCCAATGCAATAAGACAAGAAAAAAGTAAGATAGGAATAAGCATTGTCAAGATGATAAATTATCACTACTTGCAGATATCACTGCCTGCTTGAAAACCCCAAAGAACGAATTGAAAAACTACTAGAACTAACAGACCTCATTAAGGTTGCTGGTTAAAGACTTAGTATATGAAAATGAAAGTCTTTCTATATGTTAGCAGTAACCAATTAGACAATACAATGAAAAAGAGAATACTTTCAAAATAACTATGGGGATTTGCAAATTACCTAGGAACTTAATGAGAACTATGTAGCATATCACATGAAAAAAAAGTTACCAAAGGATGTAAAAGGCTTGAAAGATGGAGAAAGAGATCAAATTCCCCAATGGAAATGTAAATATGTCATTTTTCTCAAAACTTATACATGAATTTAATGTAATCCAATAAAAAACTCAGTGGGAGTTTTCTCTAGAACTTGACAAAATGATGTTAAATTTCACCTGGAAGAATAAACAGTTCAAAGGAATCAAACTCCGAGGGAATCTCCCCCCACACAACTTGAGCTTGGATGTGACACACACTTTGAGGCATCACTGGTCTTACATATATGGTAGAAGAGATCTCCAAGGACTCCTCAGCCTGGCCAACAATCACATAAATATGAACAAATCAAGCGTGGGCTGGACCTGGAGCAGCCAGTGGGGTGGGAAGCTGGGACCAGAACATTGGGGAACTAGAACTGTAAGGAGCTGGGGCAGCAGGAAGCACCAGACCTCCCTGTTCATTTCTTTGCAACTTCTTGTGAATCTATAATTATTTAAAAGTAAAAGATAAAAAAAAAGACTACTTGTTATTAAAAAAATAAAGGTGATAAAAGGACATTTACAAAAAAATAAAAATTATGGGGCATTACCACCAAACTTTCTCAAAAACAATTTCTAAAGGATGTGTATTAAGAATGGATTGTAAAACCAGTGAAGTGTGGACAACTACTTAAGAGAATGAGGAAGGAGTGATAACACAAAATCATACACATAGCCTACCTCTTAATTAAAATGAAGTAGATAAATTTGTTTTTTCCACCAAGAAAACACTAAACTCAAAAACAGTTTTACATAAAAGTGATACAAATTTTTAAAAGGAAAGGATCAGTCAAATCTTCCAGAGAAGAGAGAGAAAGAATACCTGCCAATTTATTCTATGAAGCCAGAACTACCATGATAGCAACACCAGAGACGGAAGAAATGAAAATCACACACCCGCTAGTTTCATACACCATGGCCACACTGAATTTGTAACTGGAATGCAAGGATGTTTGAATATTGGGAAAAAAGTGTATAAATGTTATTTACCAAATCAACAGATTACCATCTCAGAAAACCATATGACCATCTCAGTAGATGCAGAAAAAACATTTGATAAAATTTAGTATTCATTCATGGTAAAAACCAGTGGCATGCAAGAAACAGAAAGGTGTTTCATTGTCACCATTTCCATTCCCCACCTTCCTGGAGAGGCCCGCACTAGGCTGAGGCAAGGGAGGTGCCAGGCACAAGTGCAGCAGGGGCAGCAGCTCCTTAAATCTCGTGTCCTGGGTACCCTGCTGGCCTCGCCTTCGCTGTGGCCCTGCTTCTGGAGATACCGGCCAGTATCAGCCAACAGGATAAGGAAATTCAGAGCAAAAGGACGGAAAACAGCAAACAGAACTGTGCCAGGGAGCAATTAAGAAAATCCCTGCCAGGGAGACACACATTTTGTGTATCTGAACAAAATGGTGGATTTGACCAGAGGTGGCTGTGTGCCGCGTAGTACGAGGGCAGCCTTCGGAGGTAGATGGCGTAGTTTCAAAGGTGGGCTCTCCTGCTGTGTAATGTTGGGGATGAAATGTAACTTCCTTGAACCTAGTTTCTTCATCCATGAAATGAGAATAACAGGATTATATGAGATGTTGCTTATGGAGCCCTTAGCATCGTGCCTGGCATGTGGTAAACACCCAAAGAATGCTCACTCCACATTCCTGCCTCTTACTTGAGTCCTGAGCACATAGGGGGACAGGGGAGGGGAGAGGACAGTGTCTTGCTGCCTGGTGCTGTGCAATTGTGTGGAAGGGGTGGGCAGACCCAGATCTCCATCAGGCATGTTCCTGGGCCCTTGCCTGGTCTCCACCACTCTTTCTGTCCTGGAGATATGTGGGTCTCCATTCTGCTGCTGTGTTCACTGCAGGAACAGTGAGTGTACAGGGCTGGGAGGCCCCAAAGGGCTCTCCCTGAGCTGCAATACCTGGATCTTTCTTTATTGTTACCCTCGGGCCGCCAGTGGGGTGTGTTTGCCAGGAGGGCCCTTCCTTGCTGCGGTTGACATGATGTGGCCTGGCCAGGCGGTCAGGACAAGTGGAGTCATGTGCTCCCACCTCCGGCCTTCAAAGGCTCTTCACTTGGGTTGATGATTAAACTCAGAGGAATGAGGATGCTGAGTGCAAATGCTCTCCAGGCTGTCACGAGGCTGGGCATGGACGGGTCCCTGTGCTTCCAGAGGGTGGAGCTCGGGCCAATGTGGGGAAGTTGCTGGAAGAGATTTTTTTCTCACACAGCTGTTTTCCATTTTGCAGCAATGGGAGGCCATGAACTGCCACATACTAGTCAGGGGACCTGGAATATTGCCCTTCGGAGCCTTGGTTTCTTTATATCTAAAATATAACAGTGACCCCCATCTTTAGTTGATGTGAGCTTTGAATGAGATTCTTATGCATATAAAGCACAGCTCCAGGCACCAGGTGGGAACTCAGGGGCACTTGCTACTTTTATTCAAGAACTTTGTGGATACTTCCCTGCGACATGAATCATGCCTCAGAAGTCTCTGGGCCTTGTCCGGCCCCCAATTCTCTGCTGTTCTCATGTTCCCCTGAGAAATGATATGGGAGCTGGAGGTGTGAATGTGCCCATCTGAACTTAGTGCCCAAATCAGAGTCAGGCCAGGCTTTGTGCTACACACACTGGGGACTTGGTGGTCTAGTGTTTGGTCCCATCTCAACAGTTCTTCCCCAGAAAAGCTGGGGGTGGAGGGTGGACAGGAGGGGGCTGGAGGAACCAGATACTAGGCCATCCTGATCCTAGCCGGGGACACTCATGAGCCCTTGGCTTAGACCCAACCTTGGTCTCACCCAGTGCCGTGGCCTCCTGTCTCTTTAATGTTATCCTGTGGGGCCATCTTACCCACAATTGAAACGGGGGTGGGGTGTTCACTTCCAGGGTAATTGAAACTCCTAGCTAAAATTTCAGGAGGTTCAGAGGGTTCTGGGTAATGTACATATTAGAGGGAAATGGTCTGCCATTTTCTAGCCAAATATTGCTTGTTTCTAATACCAAAATGAGGTTAAAAAATAAGAAGCCTAGCAAGGAGGTCTTCATTCCTTTCCTTCCGATCCTTTCCATTCTCTTTGCCGCAGGCTCACCAAAAAACCTGCCCCGAGGAGGGACTCCTCTTAGTAATTACGGGCTCTGAGGGCTCACTATGAGCCAATGTTGGGCTGAGTGTCTTTATATGACTGTCCCAGTTAAGGTCTTCACATGACCTTTCAATAGTCTGCCCCATTTAATAGGAGAAGAAACAGAGGCGAAGCGACCAGCCCAGGTGGCTGTAGAGGACCCAGGTGGTCTGGTTCTAGCCAGGTATACAGTGTACTCTCTACCCAGCCTCTTGAGGGTCCTGCTAAAAAGAAACCCAGGAGAGAAAGGCGCTGCCCGCCCCATACTCACATCATTGAAATGCTTAGTAGTTTTCATGATATAAGGAGTCCTTTCATTCTTTTCCAGTTTCATCCAGCCTTGTCCGAAGAACTCCCTGTGGGAAGGAAAGGGGAGACCCAGGGCGGATGAAGTTAGGTTTACCTTGCTGATTTCATTGCTTCATGATTTATTTGCATTTTGAGGCTGTCATTTCAGGGGCAGCAACTTTCTGCAGAGCCCTGGAGAGGAAGGAACCCCAGCTCTGCCTTGTACCAGCTGTGTGGCTTCAGGCAAGCCTTTCATATCTCAGGACCTCAGTTTCTTCATCTGTAAAATGGGAATAACAACAATACTTTCCCCACAGGGTTACTGTGAGGCTGAAATGAGATAAGGTATGGGAAGGCACATCCTAAACTGTGAAGTGCAGTGGGCACACCAGATTTTATTATGGATCTTGTTTTCTGACAGGGAGAACTCATGGTTTAGTTACTTGGCAGTGGCTGGTCTGTAGACCAGCGGAGATGGAAGGCACCAAAAAAGGCCAAATTAAAGGATAAGGGAGACTGCAAGCCAAGCTGTCAGCATGTTCCAGTAATGGTGACCTCATGGGAAGCCACAGACTGCCCAGGCTCCTGATTTGACAGTGATTGGGAGTGGCACTGGGACAGGAGGGTCCAAAGTGAGCTGAACTGTGTTTGAAAACATATCCTGCTTCTCCTCGCAGAGGGAGCATATCTGGAATAATGACTATTTCTACGTCCAGGAGATGTGGCAGGTTTCCAAAACGTTTACGCTCCCCATTTAGGTGGGGCAGCAGTCATGTCGGTGACAGCTGCGTGAGTGCCATGTGAGACAGAGGCCAAAAGTCCTACAATGATCATAGCCTCAGACCTGGCGATTTCAATTTTGGGAAACTATTCTGGGACAATTGTCAGAAATTCAGAGAAATATTTGGTTACAAGGATGTTTACCTCTGCTTTAAATGTAAAAGTGAAAACAGAAAACAACCTCATGACTTAATGCACTGTTAGGGAATATTGTGCACTTATTTAAAAATGTTTGTAAATTTTGGTATATTGTTAGATGAGGAAAGAGGGATACAAAATTATTTAAGGAGTGTAATCATAATGAACACCAGGGGCGACTAACTACAGGCCAAAGCTGGTAACACCAGGCCTGCAGGCTTCTTCAAAGTCCAGAGCTGTCCCCAGAGTCTGCTCCTGGGGATTATGCAGGCACACACACATGCACACATACTCTCATCCTGTGTGCACATTTTCTCACGTGTACATGTGTGCACATACATGAACACATACTCTTTCTAGAACTCCAGAATAAGAGATCTGAGTTAGACATGCTTCTGGGAAAGCGTGTGTGTTGTGTGCCCGCGTACATGTGTGCAACTGATAGGTAAGGAGGGAACTTGGGGACAGGAGCAGGAACAGGGCTTCTCCCTCATCCATGCAGACCCATGCATCTTTGCTTCAGGCTGTGGTGAATCCATGCAGCTCTGGAAGTCTGCAGCACATGCTCAGGGACGCTGCTGAAGATGGCGCCTGTGAAAGAGGAGGAAGGAGGGGTCTGGTGCCTGCACCACTTACTCATAAGGAATCTTCTTGAAGACCAGGTGGTCCAGCAGGGTCAGCTGCTCAGCGATCTCCAGGGCTGAGTGGTTTTCAAAGGGCTCAGCCTTCACACCTTCAGCCTGAGGAGAGCAAGGTCTTGAGTCAGGCCCACGAGGGACACCTCCTGCCTTTCTGGCCACTTTGCTGAGGGACTATCCACCTTGATTCTGGTGGGTGGGTGGATGGGGCATGACTGGGGTATGATGAAGAGAGATGGAGGAAAGGGGGTGGGGGGCCAAGCCCTTCTGCTTGTCGCTCATCCCGCAAGGGAGCTACTCCACCCCAGCATGAGACTGAGAGGCTTCTAGAGGTTAGGACCGGCCCACGTTGCTCAGAGGAAATGGCTGACTGGGACGGGAGTCCAGGTTGTCTGATGCCAGGCTGTGACTGGTCACTTTCTTCAGGTTCCGTCTGGGTTCACAATACTGAGAGTCCTGCCCTGGTGTCCTGGGGCTGGGCCTGGGACGGCTGAACTGTCAGGGTAAAGGGTGAGTCCAGGGAGCTGGGGTGGGGTATGGCCAAAAGAAGGCATGCTGAGCAAGCAGGGGCAGGCAGCTCCTTCTGTTCCCTTTTGGTGTGGCCTGGAAGCAGAGGCCAGGACCGACAACTGTCTCCACCTTTCACAGTACTTGTGAAAAGCCTCACGGCAAGAAGCCTTTCTGCTCTCCTCTCTGCCCCATCAGGGCCTCCTCCAAACTGGATCTTCCCAGACAGAAGTTCAGTGGATCTTTGTTCGGGGCCAGAGGGGTGGGGGGTAGCTCAGTGGCCTTTTCTTCTGGAACAGCCTCAAGCCGTTCACAGAGGAACAAGGGGCCCTCGTGCTCTTGAGGGGTAAACCTTCCAGTCAGGCCCTCATTGGGAAACAGAGTGCGCCGCTCCCTGCAGGGGAGGTGCTGAGTGGAGCCCTTCTCTCTCAGGGTTTACCCGGCATTCTGCCCCCAAAGAGCCAGTCTAGAGGAAGGAGTGTCCAGGCATAACCAACCCCCTGCCCAGGGGCATCAGCCCTGCAGTGCTGCTGGCAGAGGGCAGGGGTGTGGGCAGGGTGCTTGCTGCTCCATGGGTGACCTCACCAGCTGCAGGAATCAGGAGGGAAGGGGAGCAGGGGTCCACAACCCAGGGTCCCAAGTCCTCACACTGGCTACTTTTAACAGACCAGACGCCACTCAGCCAGCATGGAGCTGAGCCAGCTTGGAACAATCTCCACCTCTGGTAGGACAAAGTGAGTCTGTCTGGAGCCTCCCTGGCTGCCAGGATGCAGGGACTGAGGGCTCTGGGGTGGCTTGTGATGGCATTGTGGGGAAAAGTGGGCCCGAGCCAGGCACTGAAGTATGCTTGACCGTCTTCCCCCTTACACTGTGTGGAAAGCCACTGTTAGTGCACACTCCTTTGTGGAGAACACAGCTTCTCTCCCTGGGGTCCCCCATTTTGGGGCAGGTAGTGAGCTGCTTTTCTGCTTGCTTTGGAGCCAGCTGGGCCTGGTGTGAACACCAGCTCTCACCACTGCCACTGACCATGACCTTGAGTGGGCTACTGAAGTGCCCTGTGCCTCAGTGGCCTCATCTATCAGATGGGGACAATGATATAAACTTGTAGCACTGTTGGTAAAAGTACCTCGAGTCTTTAAGAGTCTAGCACAGTGCGGGCTACCAGAAGCTGGAAGAGGCAAGGAAGGGTCCTCCCATAGAGCCTTCAAAGGGGCACGGCCCCACCAACATCTTAATTTCAGACTTCTGGCCTCCAGAACTGTGAGAGAATACATTTCTGTTGTTTTAAGTCACCCAGTTTGTGGCACTTTGTCACAGCAGCCACAGGTGGTGATGGTGCCCAGTGAGGGGCTCCTGGGGTGGGGAGGGAGGGGAAGGACATCCCTGGAGAGTGAGTGGGAGGGAAGGTCCAGCTCACCATCTGTGTTATCTCCTCCAGCGTGATCTGGTTGTCACCCGGGTCCTCCTGGGTCAGAGTCCTAGGGATGAGAAGGCACAGTGAGCTGGCACCTCAGCTCCCGGGCAGCCCTTCCCCAGCCCAGCCAGACAGACTGCTCTGCAGTCTCCTGCGCTCACTTGCATGCCTCTCTGTCCTTGTTCATGCCATTCCCTTTGCCAGGAGTCCCCTTCCCCTTTCCTCCTCACTGACTTTTTCCTGATGGGCCTGATCCTCCTCTGGGTGAAGTCCTCTCCTGGGGCTCAGCTTCTGGGCTTCCTGCATCTTGCTGTGGCCACATATGTGCTTGGCCCCCAGGAGACCCAGAAGGGAGCCCTTGAGGGCAGGGCTGTGTCTGATTTATTCCTGCAGCTCTGGCACCAGCATGGGGCTGGGCACACAGCAGGAACTCCTACATGCATTAGAACTATAGAAAGCATGAGGGGAAAGGAGCTGCAGGCCTGTAGGACCAGAGCAGATGGAGGGGATGGGGAGCCTCCCATACAGATGCCGCTCCAGCCTGGCCTGGGAGGCACAGAGCAGGGGAGGCAGCAGCATGGTGGCCCAGTGGGGAAGGAGGTGGCTGAGTAGAGTAGTGGGGGTACCCGGCAGTGGTGGACACAGGGGTGGACACACTCACTCTGACAGGCTCAGAGCTGCAGCTGGTGAGCACTGGGGAGCAGTGGAGGAGGCTCGAGAGCCAGCTGGGGATGTATGGGGGACAGTCAGGGGGTGAAGGCCCAAGCTGGAGGCAGTCACATTCCAGGCATCAGCCTGGCAGAAGGCATTGTCATGTATACTTTTAGCTGAGGAAACAGAGGCACAGAGAAATGTCTCACCTGAGGCCCTGCTGCAGGAGCACAGTGGGCTACCATTCAAATGTGGCTGCCTAGGGCCGAGCCCGTGGTGCACTCGGGAGAGTGCGGCGCTGAGGGTGCAGCAGCGCTCCCGCCGCGGGTTCAGATCCTATATAGGGATGACCGGTGCACTCACAGCACCGCACTCGGGAGAGTGCGGCGCTGAGGGTGCAGCAGCGCTCCCGCCGCGAGTTCAGATCCTATATAGGGATGACCGGTGCACTCACAGCACTCACTGGCTGAGCGCGGTGCGGCCGGTCTCAAAAAGGACAAAAAAAAAAAAAAAAAAACCCAAATGTGGCTGCCTAGCTCCAAAGCCTGCCCTTCCCACTGTGCTCCAGCAGGCAGCACCCAGGACAAACTGCCTTGCCTGTGATGGCCTGGAGCTCAGCACACTCCCATGGGCCTCCCTGAGAAGGGCCTGGGGGCTAGCTGCATGCACATGTGCATATGTGTGCAGGGGGTGGGTACTGAAGACAAGGGAGGCCTGAAAGAGATTCTAGGATGTGAGCCTGAGAGAAGGATGGCCTCTGGAAAGGAAGTGCCCAGGCTGGTTGGGGAGGGAGGCTGGAGACTTTGGTCATAGGCAGGAAGTGCCTCAGCAGGACTTGGTGGAAAGTTTGGGGCAGAGGCAATGGCTGGGAAGCAGAGAGGGGTGGCTGGAGTGAGCCAGAAGGTGAGGAGGACAGGCCTGACTCCGAGCCCTCACACCAGGCTGGGCTGGGAGAGGACAGCCTGAGTTGGCAGGCAGACTGCGGGCCTGCATCCAACACCCACTGAGCAACCTGCAGAAGCAACACTCATGATCTCACCCAGCCTCACCACAGCCCTCAAAGTGGGTATTATTTGCCCACTTTACAGAGGAGAAAAATGAGGCTCAGAGAAGGCTTGCCCGTCACATAGGGAGTCACCAGCTGAGCCAGCTTAGACACGCAGCTGCCTAAGCCCTGATAGTCTGGGAGGAGAAACAAGCACAGGCTTGGGGACAATATAATTGAATTCAATTCAACAGACACTCCCTAGGCACAAGGTCTTACCAGTGCTGTCTAACAAAACGCTCAGCAATGACTGCAATGTTCTGCATCTGTGCTGTCCAGTACAGGGGCCAGTGGCCACATGTGGTCCACGGGGCTGATGAGCTGAGTTTTAAATTGTATTCAATTTTAATTAACTAAGAGTTAAGTTGCCCTATGTAGCAAGTGCCTACCACACTGGATGGCACAAGCTAGACAGATGTTAGTGGCTGTGGATATACATGGAAAAGTGGGTGTGGTTCTTGCCTCAAGAAGATCAAGGTCTAGTAGGGGGTGAGGAAAAGAGAGGGAAAGACAGATGGACTATCCATTCCTGAGCCTGGCAGCAGAAGGGGAGTGCACAGCCCCAGGTGGCTCAGGGCTCCAGGCTCACCTCTACCCCAGCACACCTTCTGCCTAGGGTTGTCCTCCTGCCTGACAAGGGCCCTCCTCACCTCCCTGGCCCCTGGCCAGCCCGTGTGGGGGCAGACGGCAGGCCCCTGTCCCAGCAGGCGGTCCTGGGCTGGGGCCAGGTGCTGCCCTTACCTGATGATGTTGGCTGCTGCCTTCCGCTCCTGGGTCAGCAGCTCTGGGTCGTGCATGACCTCCTCCAGGAAGCTGATCACCTTGCATTTGAGCTCGTCGTTGGTCTCAAAGTCCTGCCGGGAAGATGTGATGTGTGGCTCTGGCTACTGTTTTTGAACTGCACTGCACTCTTTCCTTTTTGTTGGCTGCGTGGCAGGGCACATGCAGGGCCTAGAGGCTCTTAGGTAAAGGTTCCAGGCAAGAGCAAGGACCATCCCTCAGCAGCTGCACCCCTAGGCCTGGAAGGCACAAACCCAACTGCACGTTTGCTGCAGACATGTGGAGAGACAGAGGCCCCCCGCCCCCTTGAATGTCCTTGGTTCTCTCCTAGGGGATCTGAGCAGGTCCTTCTGAGAACACTGGGCAGCACCTTGGCTCCCTCCCTCCTGCTATCCCATGGTTGGCCACCTGCTCACTCTGCCAGCAACAGCTTGGGGAGGGCAGCTGCTTCCTGGGGGCCCACTGATGCCCAGCAGCCTGCTGGGGAGGGGTCCCACCCACCTGAGAGTGCTTGGAGACCCAGTGGCGGAGCACGTTCAGGACGCGGTTGGTGGCTGCTCTGCGGATCACAAACTCCTTGTCTCCATTCCTCTGGTCAGGGGGAAACCCTGGCAGTGGGCATGGCAGAGGGAAGAGAGGATATATGAGGACAAGAACCAGAGCTCGGCTCTAGTCTGGATTCAAATCCCCAAAGTGGTTGAGCAGGGGCTGCTCCTCATGGCCGCTGGGCACCAGGGCTATGGCTAGGTAGGGGGACAGAAAATATTTAACCACTAGGTGCTGACCAGTAATACAGATGCCACCATTTCTTTTTTTTTTTTGTCTTTTTCCGTGTCCGGCAATGGATCGCAACCCTCAGTGTTGCCCCCGTACCGGACCAGGGACCGGCAACGGGATTGCAACCCTCGGCGCTGCCCCCGCGCCTCGCTCAGCCAGTGAGCGGGAACCGGTCTGTATGTGGGATCCGAACCCTCGGGCGGGAGCGCCACCGCGCTTCCCAAGCGGTGCACTATCCAGTGCGCCACCGGGCCGGCCAGATGCCACCATTTCTCAGTGGACACAGTCCATAGACACCCAGCCTCCATCAGACCTTTCTGTCTTTCAGGGGCTGCTGGAAGATTCAAGCAGCCTCCTAAGATGGGGGCTCTCGGGGCCCCCACTCCAGCCCCTGGCAGGACTGATGCTGTGGAAGTGAGAGGCAGAAGGATGGGGGTGGCAGAGGCTCTCAGGGCCAAGTAACAAAGGGGGATAGGTGGGGAGGAAGGGCCCCAGGCAAGAGGGTCAGCGCTGGCAAAGGCCTGCGGGAAGAAAACTTGGGGACTGGGGTGGGTGGCAATCAGTTTGAAGTGGATAGATTGTGGGGTGCATGGGCGATGGCTAGAGATAACACCGCCTCCCTAGGGCATGCCAGGAGTAGCAGCCTGGATTCTATGCCAATGGCAATGTCAGGGGAGGGGAGGGTGCGGGGCAGGCTGTGGCCTAGACACACAGTGGCCCGGGCTCCAGGTATGGGGTTGAGGCCCTGGCTGTGTGCAGAGAGGTGGGGGCTGTGACCCAGCACCTCCCTCAGTGGAAGGGGTGCTGAAAGTCAGAATGGCGTGGGAAGCCTGGCAGTGGTGAGTGGGACTCATCGGTTGAAGCAGATAGCCCTCCGAGGGTGGTGCTGTTGACAGGCCCCACCTGCGCCATCAGCAGTCAGTGTTAAACATCCAAAGTGGGGCAAGTCCCTGGGGCCCCGGCTGCCATCACCTGCCACGGGCCCAACAGAGGGAACTGACCTCAGGGAGGACCCGTGAGTGAGGACCACCCCGCATGCACCTGCGCTGGCTAAGGACATCCTCCGGTACTTCTCCTTGTTTGGGGTGCCCTCGTTGGCTCCCGCGGTTGCTATGGCAAAGGCGGAGGCGGCTGACAGGGCGCTGCGGTTGTTGTCCAGTTCACGACAGGAGGTCATCACGACTCCATTGTTGTAGGAAAAGAGTGGGAACTCTGTGGAGGACGAAAGCAACCCTTAGCCGTTCCTGGTCTCAGCCCCTCAGGCTGTTAGAGAACCAGGGGCCCAGGACTGGAAGAGCCTTGCGGGTGGGCAGGCTCTGTCCTCACGGAGCCAGGCTTGTCAGGTGGTGCTGGGTCTGGGGTCTGTTCCCCTGTAAAAGTTTTCCGGGGAGAGTCACACCATGACTGTCATGCCAGGGGTGTCCCAGGGAAGGCCCGGCCACCCTCCTGCTTGTGAAGAAGGCTCGCCAATCACCCCTTCCATCTCTCTGTGGCTCCCAACCCCTTCACCTCTCAGGCCAGCTGGGCACAGGCCTGCTCGAGGGCATCATGTTCCCTCGCCCTCTCAGTCTACGTGGAACTAACGCACAACCTGTCCAGTGTCTGCATCCACAATTCTTACTGACAGGCTCATGGGCGTGGTGGGGTGGAGAGAGCACTTTGCGTAGAGTCCCTCACGTGGGTTGAAATTCTCCCCCACCCCTTATTAACTGTGTGACTGTGTGGCCTTGGATAAGTTACTTAACCTCTCTGAGTCTCAGTAATCCCCTCTGGATAACAGGGATAATACCTACTTCAAAAGTTGGATGTAAAGATTAAAGGAGATGACGCAGATGAAAGTACTTTGTATTGAGTGAGAAACTTTATAAATGCCATGGAATATCATTGCTAATTATAACAATTTTTTTTTTTTT